CTTTTATTTTTAAAATTTGATTCAATTCCTCCGGGTGTAAACATTTTCAATCATTAATTGTATCAGTTTTTTTGTTTTTGTAATTTCTTGGTAAATGTTGAAATTGAAAACTTCAAATGTTTAATTAATCTCAGCAATAGAACAAAAAAATGTTTTGTTAATAAATTGAACATCAATAGTTACCCGCCCTGACAGAAATGGTTTTTTTTGGTCAATTTAAATTGATTGAACATCTTAAATTGATTTAAGTGTCTAAAAAATTAATTTAAATCGATTTCGATGGATTTTTTGACTCACTAAAATCCATCCGAATCTTACTTAAATCCATCAGAATCTCGCTTAAATCCATTTTAAATCGATTTAAATCGATCTTTTTGAAAATTTCAAATCAATTTAAGTGTCTAAAAAATTGATTTAAATCGACTTCGATGGATTTTCCGACACACTCAAATCGATTTTTTTGCAAACACGGCGAAAAAAATATACCCTTTAAAAAATTGTTGGAAATTTTTATTCTCGATTTTTTAAACATAAATACTCGTGCCAGATGTTGTATAATTCAATAAAATGATCCACATATATCAGGTTTTAAATACAAAAATTTGGAATAAAATCACAGAAAACTATTGTTAATCAGATTATGATATTATTATATTAATAAAATCATAGAAAGTCTTGAAATTAAATCAGATTTTAAGCAACAACTTATGAAACGAAAAACGAAAAGGGTCAATATAGATCAGTTTTTGAACTCATTAAATTCAAGAAATTCAAAGAATTTTATCGATATTTTGGTCATTCTATTTGGTCTTTTTTGTGCTACAAAACGCTATGGATGTAAAATGAAAAATGATAGGCAAGAATTAAATGCAATAAAAATTTGATAAAATTTGAAATGCAATATAAATTTGATAACTGATAAAACTCGAATGAAAAAAAAAATAAAAACAAATTCAGACTGGAAAAAATGCATTTAAATTGATTTAAAATGATGAAGAATCTAAACTGAATGAAGAAAATAAAAACAAATTCAGACTGGAAAAAATGCATTTAAATTTATTTAAAATCGATTTAGATCAATTTTTTTTAGCTGGGATTTAAAATCAATTTAAATCCAATTTAAGTCAATCCAAATCAATCTTCATCTTTTTATTTAAACTTCGTACTTTTTTCATACTAAAATCGATCTAATTTTAATCAACGTACTTTTTTCATACTAAAATCGATCTAAATTTAATCAACGTACTTTTTTCATACTAAAATCGATCCTAATCCATTTTTGACAGTGCGGGTAAATATGGAAACAGTCAAACTCATTTTTTCATTTTGTTCTTTTTTTGCAATTTGATCATTTATTAGTAAAATTAGCCATAAAACATGGAAATTTTTCCACTTTAACCAACTAGTTCGTTTTTTGCTGATTGAGTTTTGAAAATTGACAGCCATAGAGATTTGTTTTCCTAGTTCCCATTATTTTAAAGTTTCTCAAAACTACAAGAATGAGCTGAACAATAGTTGCAGCACCCTTTTTTTCCATTACAATCTTTGTGATGACATGGATGGCTGTAAAAACGTTTTTAAATTGAGAATTTTATGATTTGTTAAAGTACTTAGAGATTGTATAAACTGTGTTTTTACTGTTTTATTTAAGTTGGGTCAAATTTTCACCTTAAAAGTTCACAAAGACACAATTATTTTGAAACAAAATCATCATAAGTACTCCGCGTGTCAAAACATGGTTTTTTGGTAAGTTCACTGCTCTTACATGATGTTCTTCATTCAAAAGATTCGAAAAAAATCAGCGATACATTACCTAAACAATTTTGGACGGACGCTCAGAAATAGATTTAGACGGCTCCAACCCACCTCCTCTCTCGTAAAAAATCATTATATCCCTTATATAAGGTCATTAATAAAACGCGTCTGTGTTATTGGGAGGTTTGAAAAATGCCCAATCGCAAAAATGATCGAACTGTTAAGAGCAAGAATTATTGCCCGTTTTGGCATTAATATAAACAAGAAACATGGCATCTCTGGCGCATGGCAATTTTCAATTTAGACTTCATCATAAACGCCGCGTGTGTACAACAAGCTAAATAGCAACAAATATATGTAGCAACAAACTAAATTTGGCAACAAAATTCATATAGTTTAGCCCAAAAATTTGCAGCAGTAAGCCAAAACTTTATATTGAGGGCGATTCCATGCACCCTTCAACGCTCAAAAACTATAAAATTTGCTTATAACAAACAAACAGGAAATTTTTAGGAAAAAATCAATTGAAAAGTTATCTTTTTTCTTAAAACCTAAATTTATTTCCTTAAAAAGTCATAACACAGGAATATTTTTTCTACTCGTTGCAAAAAAAAAAAAAAAGCTGACAAAATGTAACAGCTTTGAGCACTTTTCTACTTGTTACTGCATGTCGAGTCGCACCAGGCATCCGAAAAGCAACCTCTCGAGCAGCACACGGTCGTACATTTGGTCGGCAGCCCCACAGCCATCACATCTCCAGCCTGCTTCCGGTATTTGTCACCTTCAGACTTTTTGACCCCATTACCAATTGTGCCCCCAAACCTCCGCTGGTAGCTGAGACAACGCTAACTTAGTTATCCACCGACTCAATCGCATCGGAAATATTACAGTCGACCTCACTAGAGCCAATCTCGACAAATTCTCCCAAATTTGACAAATTCTTCCATGTGCGTGAACGAACATAGCGTTAAAAAACATTGCGTTGAAGCCTAGCATGAGCAATAGAGACAATTTGAGCAAGATATGCGTCTCTACCAAGTTTGGTAGAGACACAAAGAAATTGAAATTAATTAAGAACATAACCCAAAACTATTTTAAGGAAAAGTCAAAGTCAGAGCTGAAGTTTATTTGAGAATATATGATGCTTACAAAATGACATCAAAAAATAACGATAAAGACAAAAGACAAACGACTTGTCATCGGTAGAAATGCTTTGTATACAATTGTCATGCTTTTATGGCAAGCTTATAGAAACTAAGGTGAGAAGATGCAAAATCTTGCTCAGCTAATTTTAGCGATAATAAAGAGGAAAATAGGGAAACCCGGGACAACCAGTAAAATTGTGAATCTCCCAAAAGCAGTTGGCGACCACTCAATAACAACCGAATCTCACCTTAATCATTTTATATTTCATATCGAATTTTTGTAAAAAACTGTGACTACTTCAAGGTGTTATAATATAGAGAAGTAATTAAAATTTTGAAGTTTGACTTTGTTTGCTTCCAACTTCTTAGTTACACCGACACTCGCTGTGATACCAGCGTCGTACGACACTGAACCAGACATTTAGATTAATTTTGTCTTCAAGTGTTGTAACAGTCGTTCGCTTATGTCACTTTTGAGATCAACAATGAGAGGCTCCAACGCCATTGGCTTAAGGGCCAGAGACACTATCTCTTGTTCTTTTTTTATTTCAATCGGTCGGAGCGAATGAACAGTTCAACTAGACATAGAACTCAGCTAGACAACTAGATTATTCAACTAGACAACTAAAAAGCCTAGTACCAAAATGACAACCCAATCTAGAAATTAAAAAAAGAACGCCTCCATAGCCAGGTCTCTAATTTACTAATACACGCAAACGCCATTAAAAACAGGATCGGGACTTTGTCTTTTTTAGTATTGTTTACTATACAGTGTGTGTTGGATTCATCTTAGTTGGATCAATCTAGCAACTCACCATGTCTCAACATAATCAGGCAAAACAATCTGTAATAATTCAATTCAATGACTCAAGACATGATGGGCATGCTCTGGAATTAACTGCAGTATGCAATTCAATCAAAATCAAGACAACTAGCTAACTCACGAAGTTTATAATTGCTCTACTAGTTTGTAACACTACATCAGTTCACTATGGTAGCCACTCTCGATGTTGTCTGTCAATAAGCAGACAACTCTACTCTCTCGAATTTATCTGGAAACGCCAATTGCGAGTAGCCCGAACTTCACGCGATTGTCAACTTGGCTGCTCTGTTTTTGACTTCTGATAATCAATTGAAGCGAGAAAATCAGTCATGAATGCATCGACTCGAATTTTCGAAAAAAAACTTTTCGACCCCCACCCCTCAGTTTACATAACCCTCGCTTAAGTCCTGAACTCCTTCCCCCACCCCCCCCCCCCCATTTCCACCGCCATTAAACGCCCCTCCACCTCCCCCGTGATTTTGGCAAAAAGAAAAACTAAATAAAATGTTAAGCTCCCATGAACTGACAATTGAAAAAGTGCAAAATATATAACTTTGTAAAATCTTTTCAAAAAAATAAATGTGAAAGATAAGAAATTTTGAAATGTTTACCTAAAAACTATGCCTTAACATGGAAATGAGATGAATTATGTACAAATGGTAAAATTCATCAACAACCTCTCAAAGAATCCATCATAAGCGTCTGTTATCAATCATAGTAGATTATTATTATTTAAAATAATAGTGGATTATAAAATATTAGGATTATAGTCCATATGGTTTGAAATCGACAAACCATATAGATTAAAATCTATAAACTCTATAAACAACTCTATTAAAATCTATAAACTCTATAAAATCTATAAGCAATTCTGATCCATGGGCGCTCGGCGCGGGCTCCTTGTCATTAGCCGTAATCTCAGTTAGCAAAATTTTAAATTGCTTACTCAAAAAATCATAACACACTCAAAAAATACAAATATCTGCCAAAAATTAACAGTTTTGAGAGAGTTTCAATTTGTTATTGCACTTTCGTTCGTGCCAGTGTCATTCCCGCGAATGTCTGGAAATGCCACATTTGGTCAAATTCTGGGCATAAGTCACGGGCCTCTATTGCACTAGCAACGATTAACCCTTTGCCGAACAACCATTTTAAATTTAGATTCAGACCAGTACATTTTGCATGAAATAGTGCTTTGTTTATTGGTGCTTGCAGATATTTATAGCCTTATTTAAAAAATCTTTTCCAACGAGTTTACTGTTTCAAAATTTTTATAGGGAGGATGAGCCATATGCCGAGTACAAAGTGAAAGAAGGAGTTGAATTGGCCGCCTACGTAAACCCCGACCTAAAGAGCGACGCGGATAGTATCTACGAGAACGAAGCTTATGAGGAAATGGATAAAAAAGTAGAGTATAACTCTGACGATGATGGATGCTTGCCTTTGAAGAGTAACGAATACCTTGAACCTGAAATCAAAGGTCAAAAGAACGAGCCGGCATCACAGCCAAATGAGTACTTGATTCCAATCGCCCAGGAGGACAGTCTTCTTTGTTAAATTCACATCTGAAACAATTTAGGGTTTTACACAGAAGCGGATTTAAAAAAAGGTCGCCAAATTTTCAAAATGTTTTTGAAAATCCGCCCTTCACTTGAGAAATTTCTAGATCCGCGCCTGGTTTCACTCAAAGTTTTTCTTTTGATGTGCTTTTCTTTTTTTGTCAACATTTTATTTTTGAAGAATTTCAGGAATAGAATATTTTTCATTCAAATGCGGTTCAGTCCATAATCAAATTTATCGACCTTTTATTGTAGTTAAACAACAATTTCAAGAAAAGAATATTGTGAAACTGTATTTTCATAAACGCGAAGAATTTTTAGATGTCAATAAGTTGCCCTAAAAGTTTATTTTATTGGAAAACAATATTAAAATTTCAAAACAAAATTAAAATTATATTGACAAAAATAATTCAAAACAGTATCCACAAAATTGATTGTTAATTTTTATTGTGAACTGTGAATTGATTTTTCTTTAAAATTACCTTATACTCAAGCAAATATCATTCTATTTCAGCGCTTTGGCTCTTTAGAGCCGAAAATTTGATTCAAAAACTAAGAAAAATTGAAGGAAATAGGAAATTAAAACGTAGGAATTCGAATTTACTACAAAATTTATGGCCGAATTAATGAAGAAGATTACGCAGCAGGATTACGATGACGTTGAAAATCTGAAGAAAAATGAGAAAGAGGATGGACAAGACGAAGAGGAAGAAGAGGGACGAAAGCCGAGCGTGCGCAACGAGTACATAACACCTGCTCGCAATTGATCTGAACAGAATTTGAAAGTGAACAAACTGACATGGCTAAGAAATCGAGAACAAATTAAATGAACAAAATGAACAGTTAGAAAAAATGAGAACAAAATACTGAACAAAATGATCAATTTATAAATGCGTGAAAATGATGAATTATTTGGCTCATTGAAAGCCTGCTTGGTGGATTCTACGATCTCGATGTCTGTCCTCTCCAAGTCGTCTTTTCTGATGCTACATAACGTTATCGAACAATTAGTTGAAGGCTTAAATTCATTCTCTCTCTCTGCTGTGAATCTTAAGCTTGCTAAAATCATCTGAAAAATTTGTGAACTTGCACCAAAAGCGTTAACTTTTCTTGTATATATTAGTGAAAATTATGAATTATAAAAAATTTAAATCTATTGATTCCAAAATTTTCCAAATTTTAGTAATCTCCAGTCAAGCGAAAAAGAAGTAATTAAAATAGATGAAAACAGCTTCGGCATCTGAATTGAGCTATCATCTCTACCCACGAAGCTTGTCTGTCTAAGTAGCAAGAATATCCCGTACCATACGTACTTTCTAAACAAGATCTGAAATTCTTTGTTTCTTAGATTAGTTTATTCTTAGATTTTAAATTGGAAATGCATAAGTAGGGCATTTAAACCAAAAAATTTATAGGTCTTCTGACAGATTTGGAAAACTTTTCATCTCAGTTGAACAAAAAAGTTAATTCGAAAAAAATTGAGAAATTATCCGGAAGTTTTTTTTACCGCTTGTTGATCTAAACATAATTGCGTATTGCAGAAACATCGAAAAAAAACTCAATGTTTGCTCGAAATGCATAAAGTATAGCTTAACAAAAAGTTTCTCAGATCTAATTTCATATCTGAAAATATGTTTTTCAAGGTTATTTCAGATCTGCAAGTTTTTATTTTGGATCCAAATTTCAGATGTGAAGTTTTCAAACATTTATCAAGATTTAAAATAAAGAATTTCAGATCTGAGAATCAATTAATGTAAGATATAAAGAATATCAGATCTTGCACAGAAAATCCCCTGGGTACGGGTAGCACAGTTAAGAACGGCACAATTAATCACAGTTGTTACTGTACAAAAAGAAGAACATGAATAGCCAGTTCCTATGCACAGAAAATATTTCAGAAGGATCCGACAACATCAAGTAAAATCATAGGATCCGACAACATTGGAAAGCAGAGGTGAAATGGTTACGTCTTTCAATCAAAAAAAAGTCGGATGATCCACGCTCGTTGCTTGAGGGTGAGGCAATGGTATCCAATTCAATAAAATAACCAAAAAATGCATGTAGGTTTTTCTTAAGCAGCGGCACACCGGCGGTTATCCACGATGAGCTGAATAGCTTCTATGTTGGTCCTTACCTTTCTGGATAAATAATTTTGATTCATTACGAGGCCAAACTGTGCATTCTCTGCATTGTAAACGGAACCCGCAACAGGTCAAAATCAGATTTGTCGCGGAATCCGCAACTTTGCTACTTTTCTTTGATCTTCTATGCTGTTTTGGATTCCACAAACAAATACCTAAATCATTGTACCGCTCAAAATCGCTCCAAAAAGAGGCGAACTCACGGAATCCGCAACAGTGTTTGTAGAATCCAGAACAGTTTGTGGAATCCACAAACAAATGATAAAACATTTGTATCGTTTCATTGAGCTGTTGTGGAATCCGCAACTGTAAGTGGAATCCGCAAATTGTAAGTGGAATCCGCAAATTGTAAGTGGAAACCGCAAACTGTAAACGGAATCCGCATTTTGTTTGCGGATTTAAATTACATATATGTTTATATGTGGTTACGTTTTAATTTATATCTTTTATTTACTACAGGTGATCACCAACAAGAGTTCACCAACAATACCTGACGTCTACCAGTCTCAATTCGATCTCAACTTCGATCTGACCAAATTCATCACCAACTTCGATCTCAATTCCTGTAACCCAATTTCGATCCCAATTCCTGTAACCCAATTTCGATCCCGAATCCTGTAACCAAACTTCGATCCCGATTCCTAAAACCAAACTTCGATCTCGATTCCTGTAACCTAACTTCGAACCCAATTCCTGCCATAAATCTCAATTCCTGCGAAAGGAGCAAATTGAACAAACTTATGGAGTTACCTCGTATCACAACTAATCAATTCATTTCAATCAATTAATTCAATTAAAATAATTAAGGTGTTTTCAAATATAGTTTGATAAGGCAAAATATTCGGGAACATTTTTTTTTGCAATTAACCACTTATTTTTGCTGTAGTTGTTCAAGTTTTGTTAATATTTTTTTATCTAAAATGGATTTACTCAAATTAGTTTACTCAAACCAATGGCCTTTCACAAACCAATGGCCTTTCTGGTTACTGGTGTAGCTGGAACCAATATGAAAATTTGCCCTGTTTTTTTTCCTCATCAAACCATAGCATCTTTTTATTGCCGGAAATGTCGTAAAAGTTAGGCCAATTGGGTGAGTAATATCACTCAGATCGCAGCTAAAATTGTTCTAAATCGAAGCACAAGAGAAAAAAAGAATGAATCATATTTGTTTTTGTAAAAACAACAAAAATGAATTAAACAGCCACAGACCAAAAAATTCTCGGGGTGACATCCGCATTTTCGATGGAACTCATTCCAGCAAATGCTCAATTTTTCGAACAATCGAATTACAAATAACCAACACAAAACTTTTGTCCGGCGCGCAAGATAGTCGATCCTAGCTAAAATCACAAAAAAGAATACGGTGTATAATTAGAATACCGTAAAACTACCTAGCTAAAATCTCAAAATAGAATACGGTGTATAAAAAGAATACGGTAACTTAAATACCGATAAAAATAAGAATCAGCTGCATCCGGAAATGCAATTTTCAGGATATCAGATGAAATCGATGATCATACAGAATATAAGGTTAGTTGGATGTGATTAATTAGTAGATTAGTTACACATTTGATTGGTTATTAGATAATTTCACCTGTATTACACCGTTGATGCATGGAGCAAACTTCAAGGGAAGTTCACTCTCTGACAACTCAAAATAAAGAAGGCGACTCAAAATATCTTCCTGCGGTTGTTCCTTCTTGTTTGATTTTTTTGGCCTTGGGCTCTGAGGGTTTTTGTTCGGGTCTAGATTTCTCAGCATCCGTAATCATGAATTATTTGAAATTGTATGGCAGTGATTCTCCGGCGACTCATTTCCTTGACTCGCCTTGTGACTCGTTTCTCAACTCGGACTGACTAACGTATAAATTACTACTACATGATGGTCCATTTCTCGTAGTATCCTGAGGTTTGTCGACCAAACGACCTGTGCACTGGGACCCTCCCAGTATGTTCAAAAAAGACCATCGATTCCCTGTGCAGCCGTCTGGGGTTGAACGATAATTTATCTTTTCTCGAAATCCGATTTCTGCTGATGACACAAGTATCATTGTGTTCGTGGAATTTTCTTAAAGATGGCACTTCCCGGCCACTCAGACCATTTAATCTTTGCGCACTAATCGATGATTAATGATACATTTGCTTTCCCAGATGGACGTGACGGCATCGAGGACTTGTATTTTTTCCTTTACCCAAAAAATTCTACTAAGCATGATGACATGGATGAAAGACTCTAATATATGGCTGAACTGAGGAGCGATTGAACGATTGAAATGAAATGAGCCTTGATTCAAGAATTTACTAATGACCGTTTTTCCTGATAATGACGGATTTACTGATAAGAACTGCACTCTTTAGGCAGTAGTTATTGCATAGATGCTACTGTCATCTGGTGTGGTAAAAAGAGTGGAAAGTGTTGAAACTGTTCCTTGGTGGACTCTTATCTTGATATCCTGGTGTTTTGAATAAATTGGCGCTGATAAGCAATGAGAGCTTTGCGGCAAAAATGGAGTCAGTTCATCCTCATCATGAGCTCAATATTATTTGCATCTCTCATTTTTCATCCCACTCTAGTAAAAACTTACGGACTCAAAGTAAATGCCCAACGCCGAAAAACTCATGTTCAGTACCTTCCAGTTCTCTATCACCATTTGTAGTGCCTTCTAACATCCCTGTGCCTCCGTCGCCACTCGCAGCTCCAGAGACGACATCATTTGCACCCCTGACACCGGTAACCCCTTTGCGAGCATCCCGCGACCTTTTGCCTCGCCAATTCCGCCGACAAATGGGCAACCACATACCCCTCTGCGCCATGTCCCATCAGGCCCCTCCATGGCACGTCAGTGCCAGCCTCAGCAGTATCAGACATATCCAGGCTACCTGGATTCCTACATGTCGGTATCACCGTATACGAATTCTCCATGGCCATCGGCATTTCCCCACTAACGAGAAATTGAAAGACAACCGCATGACCATGAGAGGCGAACCTACACTCCCACGGAACAACGAGCCCATGATCCCACAAAATTACAAGACCACAT